TGCACGGTAATGATTTACTATGCGGCATGGCCATAGTCTACTACCCGCACGGCTTCCGGACGGCAAATGGTTTACTATCCGCAAGGCAGTAGTCTACTATCCGCACGGCAATGGTTTACTATCCGGTGCCCTGGCTGTCGGTGAACCTCTGTGCAAGGAGGGAGAATGAAGGGGAACTTTCGACTATCGTACCATTAACAATTTATTATAGATTAGTTAAGGTAATTGAATAGGTAGATAGGATTATTTTTATTAAGCAATTTAAGATGCAGGCACCGCTAAGCTTTCTGATGAGAATTTTCTCTTTCTCCATTCCACGGGCTGTGTTTCAACAACAATCTCGAGGAGGACTGGCACCAGTTTTGGAGGACAACGCAGGAAACGGAAGGCACTCATCATTCTGCCTTTGTCGAATGGACGACGGTAAGTTTTTTTTACATTTTACTCTCTTTATTATTTTCAGATATTGTTTATTTCCCATTATTTCCATTTTATAATTTTTTGCTTCTAAGATTCTAACATTCATTTACTACTAAGCTAATAAAAATAACTTGTCTACAGACTGATGAGAGGTGGGCAGTGGTGGGCGTCAGCACGTTTCAGATGGTGGTCTCATGATGATCGTTCCGATGACAACTCGAAGAAAACAACAACGACGATTTTTGAAGTATGGTTTAGTTTCGTTGTTTTTATTTTTTTCATTCATTCATTTTTTCACACAATCTTTCAAATTATTCATCCATTAATTGACTCATTCCATTCATTCATTGAATCATGGATTGGTTAATTAATTCATTCATTCACTCAATCATTCGCTCAATCATTTATTCGTTTGTTCTTTCGTTTTAACATTCATTTACTACTAAGCCAATAAAAAAATTTGTCTACAGAATGATCAGAGGTGGGTTGTGGTGGGAGTCAGCACGTTTCATGATGGTAATCTCATGGTAAGATAAGTTGCTTCTTACTTTTCTTCAATGGCTTGTTTTTTATTTTAAAAAATTATTCTCTTTCAATTTTGTTTTTCAGTATCCGGTAAAATTCATTTCCTCGGTGCGTGTCAGATGATGGTCGGTGCAATGGAGGTTCGTCCGTAGTGGGTGAAGTTCTGGAGGGTACGCGCGCGCGCACATTTACATACACGCACACACATAAATACAACACACACATACACAACATCCATTCATTCGGTGTCGTTGTTGTTATGTTTCTCTTCAACTTTCTATTTTCTTTACCGGACTTAATTTAATTCATAGGTAAGTTAGGGATTGAGATGAGTTGAACAACTGTAGGTAGGCTAGGGCTTAACATTAGTTAAAAAGTTTCAAGTAAAATATTAACATTAACATAAATTAAAAAGCTTCAAGTAAAATTAAAACGTTAAAATATGTAAAATAAATGAGTTGAGTTATCATTACAGGTAAGCTAGGGCCCTGAGAGTAATTTAATTGTAGGTAGGTGACTGACTACTATTCTTGCGACTTTTTAATATTTTTTTTTGTGGTGTTTTTGTTTTCGCTTCTTAGCACCACACAACACCAACAAAACAAACTACATTTTTTTTTGTCGTCGCCTTAAATTTTACAATTTTTGAACAATCTTTTTAATAATGTCTATTTATTTGTTTGTAAAATGTTGACTGGTTTCTAGTTTCTTATTTTGGTTATATAACTTTTGGATATTTCCTGATTTACTTTGTATATGTGCACGCATGAATAATTTCTGTTTGGTATGTTGATTTAGTCATTATGATATGCTGTGAACTGTCCTTACTAAATATTCATGTTTCGTGATAATTATTTTTTATCGATCGATAATTTGTTATATTTGTTTGTTTAAAATCTGAACTTTTTAAAAAATTGACATTTAAAAAATTTTAATTTTTCGTCACTTTTCATCTTTTGATGATGTCAAATAAAAGCAACTGTTGTGTTTTTCTTTTCTTACTAAAATCTCGAATACAAACATGTACACATAAAGAGACACAGACACACATACATACAAACATACATACATACACGCATACATACATACTACCATCATATATACGCAGTACAATAAACATTCATGTCATTTCTGTCAATGTTTTTTAAGTATGTCATACTGTTAATCTTGTTAACTATGATGACGATCATCATCTTCATCATCACAACCATCATCAACGAACAACAATAACAACAATATAATAATAATTACAGCAACAACAACAACAACGAAATAAAAATAGTTGTTCTCATTATGCATTTCAAAAGCTTGCATTCTTCTTTTAATACAAGCGTTATATATATATATATATGTGTGTGTGTGTGTGTGTGTGTGTGTGTATGTGTGTGTGAGTTTGTTTGTGTGTGTGTGTGTGCGTGTATGTGTATTGTATATTTTTATCTATTTATTGAAACGTTATTTTTTACGCATACCCCTTGTCTCATTCTCTCTCTCTCTCCCTCTCTCTTTCTTTATATATATATATATATATACATATATAAAAATTATGGTCTATTACCAACATATACATATGTATATATACATATATGACTGGCTGGTTGGCTAGCTGGCTGGCTGGCTGACCGACCGACAGACTGATTGTTTGATTGATTTATCTCATAGTATTGTATACATGAGAAAAAATCCGATTAAACCAACCTTCGGCTTCAGTAAGCCACTGTTTTTTACCTGACAAAAGCAATTTCTATATTTATACTGACAAAAATAATTGTGATATATTTAAAGCATTATATGTACAAAAAAGTGCTATCTTATGAGTTCTATAAAACCCTGTAAGCCACTGCTGTAAGCCAACGTATGATTTCACAGCCAGTTTCTTATGAGCACCAGCAGAATGTAAAATATTCATTCAATATAATGAAGATAGTTGTTCAAATAACAATTTTGATTTATTTAGGCCGTTTATTTCATAAGCAAATCAATTTTTAACATGATCGAATAGTGTAAAAAAAAGGTGACTATAGTTCAATCCTACTAAGCCAACCTTCGGCTTCAGTAAGCCACCGGATTTCACCGGGCCAAAAGCAATTTTTATATTCAAATTAACAAAAATAATTTAATAATACATAATTCTATTAATCATTATTAAAATTAAATAGAATTACTACAATGTTTTAAGCATATTAAATCAAGTAAATATTTCATTTAGCTTGCTCGTTAAAATCCATGCAATTTCGTAAGCCAACAATCAAGCACGACAAATAGCCCGACCGATAGATCGAATTGATCGATTAGTCCTATTATTCTAGTTATGTGGTTTGGAGCAAGGGGAGATATTACTGAAAATAATTAAAAGTTGAAAAAATTGAGGTTCTTTGCATATCCCTGCTTCAACCCATAAGAAGGTGTTGTATGCTGGTAAATAGGCCTCCCCTTGAGTGTAACAAGCTGGCTTTATGCATATCCTTATAATACTTATTCTATATATGTATATAACATTATGCCATATAAAACAATAAGCTCACCGCTTAAACAAATATATATAAATAGAAAGTAAGGAAGTATTCAAAATAAAGCTTAAGAAAAGAAGTATTAAAAAAAGGCTTTGCAACTCGAATCAAATGCGCCATTACACTGCATTTTTACACTGCAAACGATCACCTCTCTCGAAATCCTCCTACATCAATCATAAATTATAACTTATAATGGATGCGAGCCGTCAATGCTTCTCTTACTTTCTGTTTTCAGTGGAGCATACAGAGGATAGATGTACGATGGATAGGAGACAGCTCCAGTTTAAAATACCCTGCTTCTAATTGACAACCGTGTTAATAACAACCATCTACATAACAGTTCATCCCATTCATTCAATGAAAAAAACTTACGTTTCATGCGTGATGTTCATGCAGTGAATTTTAGTTAAAAGCAGTTAATAATAAAAATTTTTCTGAAGTTAATTATATTTTTTACAGAAATAAATATATTATAATGAAAAATCAGAAAAATAAGAAAAATAAATGAATTAAAACCAATTTGATAAAATATGTAAAAATGACGACATTTACAAGAAAGAGAAGAGTAAAAAGAGAGAGAGAGGAATGAAAAGAGAGTGAAAAGGAAGGAGAAGGGAATGGAGAGCGAGTGAATTTAATCGATGAATATCAGACTAGTAGTTTGTCGCAAATATTCCAGGTAACGTGACACACTAGCACACGCACACTTATACACACGCGCACGAACGCTCGAACGTACGCACAAACTCGTTGACATATGCACGCATTTGAACATACCACTCGTATAATAACAAACAACATTGTGACAGACATGCTCCAACTTGTTCCCACCTCTCAACCTATGAAAATTGCCGTTTTTAATTTCGTTTTACCAGTCTGCTTTGTTTGTTTGTTCGTTGCGTTTGTTATAACGTTCAACGTTTCTTAATTAAATACGTTGTTTTGAACATTCTTGTCTATTTTAACGAAAAATTAAATTAAATTGTGGCTGAAAAAGTTGATAGTAAGTTTATTGCAGTCACATGTAGACGTGGTGAGCGATGATTTATGAATGGGTACAATTTTAGATAAGAGTCCGCAATTGAAATTCAATATTGCCATGGATACAGCGACCGGATTAATTAATTTCTGCATGTTATAACTTCATGCAAACGTTTAAATCATATTTCTTAGAAATGCTATACCAAAAACATTCAAATATATTCATGAAAACTCTCTCAATTATGTTACAATCTGAATCTACAATATTAAAACCGAATTTTTGAGTTAAATAACTCATGCAGAGAAAGTGACTACAACGTTTTTAAACATGAAAAAATTGTTCTTAAAGTCAAATATTATTAAAAAGTTCTAAGAATAAGCAACCGACCATTTTAACGTGGTTTTAAATTTGTTTTTTCTTCAGAAAATGGTAAACTATCATAGTATCAAAAAAATCATTCACAGCAATATTTTCAACAGCAGAAATTGCATCAACTAAATCGTGGTAACACTTGTCAAGTCACCAACAATCTTACAGAAACTCAACTTGCACTCAATAAAATGCAATCATCCCATCAGCCAGTAAGCAACACTTTCTTGGACATTATAAACAGAGACAAAGAATTGCTCAGGATGAAACAAACTCCACGCAATTTCAATGGCTCGATGTCATCAACAAACATCGAAGCATTCAAGCCTAAAACCATTTCTCCTCCCAACTTAGAACAAAACACATCCCCACCGTCTTCACGGGCAATCCCCGGTGCACATCCACCCTTTCCAGCACAAACACACAGCAGCAATACCCTACATATAACGTCTCCACAGCCTCCACCACAAAAGTACATCCAAAAAGCATTGTCGTCATCATCTTCATCAACGTTATCGTCATATTTCAGGTCAAATTCGTTGTTGCCAAATGAAATTTCTTCTCAGAATGTTTTCCTTCCATCCTCACCACCTCCACCGCTGCCTTCGTCTTCCATTATGATGACGGACGCATTGCGAGATGGAAAGGTTGTTTCATCAGAACCACCGGCAGATCGTCTAACAGCATTAAACCAACCATCACCGTGTTCAGCAATGCCATCATTAAAATCAACGGCACCACGTGTATCTTCATCGTCAACATCGCTCGCATCACCAATACTTTCATCATCATCTTTACATTTCCTACGCGTTCACCTTGCCAACCAACAACCAACGTTAAAAGAAACGTTAAGCACAAAAATGCGACATGAACAAAGTGTAGAAAATGAACAGAATCAGCCAAATGTAACAAATAGCCTGATCGACAGAAGCTCTATAAAAGGCTATCCTTCCGACTTCGAAAAATTGCGAATCCAGCATTTCAAAGATGAAATGAGACAACTGAGGTTGGAACATGACAAGCTGAAGGTGGAAAACGGGAAACTGACTGCTGAAAACAAATGGTTGAAATCCAGATTGAATGGTATGAGATGCTGGTGATGTAATGTGTTTTGATGGGCATTGATAAACGTACGTACGTCTGAAAATAATAACTTTAAGTTAAAATTGAAATTAAAATATTAAATATTAGCATAAACTTCATGCTTTCAACAAAATTTATTAAGAAACCTCTCTAAGTATTTAAGATCATACAATGGATTTGCGATTACTTAGCATCAGCATGGTTCCAGCCGGCGTTCCTTCATTCTTTATTCATTTTATTATTTCTTAAAACTTTCAATAGTTCACTCAGAAAGATGCACGTGCAACAAAAGTTTCAGCTCCTGCAACGACGAATACAGCAACAACGACGACAACATAAACACATTCAACAGCAGATTTAGCAACAAAAGATTTTTCACAAAGTCAACAGACACATTGAACTCTAAACAATCAGACATTCTACCTCTAACATGGCTATCGAATAATGATTTGGTTTCCGAATCAACAAACAAATCAGCAACAATAACAACAACACCGTTAGCAACAACAATGGCACCAGCATTGTTAACAGCAGCAGCAGCAACAACAACAACATCAGCAATGACAACGCCGTTCATAGCAACATCTCACAATGGAAGGAAACTGTATGGATCTGACTTGAAGATAAATGGACATTTCAATGCACCAGATGTTCAAAATGCACGCCCAATAAATATAGAAACACCAAGAAGTAATAATCATTTTTCACATCAAAAGTTTTGTTTTTTACTTTCATTATTAACTATCTTCTTGCTCTTGACCTTTCCTTTGCTTTTGATACTGTTGATCGTACTATTCTCTTGGGGCTGCTGGATCATTCTTTTAATATTACTGATTCTCTATAATCGTTTTCTTCTGTTGTTCTCAATAATTCTACTTTTAACTCCTCTACTCTAACTTTCGGGGTACCTCAGGGTTCTATCCTTGGCCCTCTTCTATTTATACTCTATACTTCTGAACTACCTCGTATTATGAATAATTTTTCTTTCACTAGTTAGCTATATGCTGATGATTTTTGTATTTATATACTTCTTTTCCTCCATCTTATCTCAATAGTGTTCTTCATAATCTATCTCTATGTCTTTCTTCAATTTTGGCTTTGTCCGACTATGTGTCGTAAACTTAATCCTTCTAACTTTGAATTAATTTGTTTTAATAAATCTAAACGCTCTATTACTATTTCTTCTATTATCTTACCTGATTCTAAAACTCGTGATGTTTCTCATAAGTTTAGTAGTTTGATTCTAGCATATCTCTTTTTTCTCAGGTTAACAGTGTTGCTAGATGTTCTTACTTTCATCTACGTAGAATAAAAAACTTGCCTTTCATTGGCAATCCTACACTTCTCCTTGTTACTTCGTTAGTTTTATCAAGGATTGATTATTGTAACTCACTCTACTATGGTCTTTCTGACTCTATACTCTATCCTTTTAGTAAAGCTTTTAACTCTGCTGCTCGTCTAGTTGCTCGTGCCCCTTTCTTTTCTCATATATCTCCATATCTTGTTCTCTTGCACTGGCTACCTATAAAATATAGAATAATTTTTAAAATTTGCACATTTATATATAAGTCTCAATCTAAATTATTTCCTAACTATTTATCAGATATATTATTTGAAAGTCCCGGCGGTTTGCGATCGTCTTTTGTCCTCACTTCTTCTTAACTCGTGTTAAACACTCTTTTGCTAAATCTGCATTTTCTTTTTCTGGCCATTTTTTCTGGAACTCTCTACCTCCTTCTCTGACAACTTCTCCATCACTTACGAAGTTCAGAGCGGATCTCAAAACCCATCTGTTTGCAAAATTCATTGAGGAACGAACATTGCGGAAATGGCGCTTTATAAACTAATTGATTGATTGATGAATTAATTGAACTAATAAAATTTATAAAATGTTAAGAAATGTTATTCGATATTATTTAACAGGTTTGGCGCAATCACACTATGATGACGTCAGTTGTATTAATAAATCAAACGACACTGCTACCCCAAACAACATCAACAACAACAAAAACTCCAACATCATTACTTCCACTTTAACCAGCAACGATGCTAGCAACCACAGGAACCACTTAAATCATGTTAACGGCAATCCAGAAAACATCAGCTTCCCCGACAGCACTAATTATACTACCAACATTCATAACAACAACAACAGCAACAACTATATTAACAGCAACAACAGCATCAACAACAACAAAGACGTCACCAACAACAACAACACTAACACGAGTAAGGAAATGGCGAAACGAAGATTCTCCATAAGCAGCACATCCACCGAGAACATCCTTCTGGAAGCTGACCTCCTACTTACTTCCGCCAAAAACTCTAACTCATTTTATAACGACGAACCAGGTTTGAAAAATTTTAATAAAATTTTTAAGGTTGTTAATCATTTATTTTATTAACTTATAATTTATCACAAATGAGTTACAATTGCTATATATATATATATATATATATATATATATATATATATATATATATATATATATATATATATATATATCAATCTATTGTATTGATTTTTATTTTCAATTTTGCTTGGTTTGACTGAGCCTATTAACATGTCTTGACGTTTTTTTAACACACATTTTGTTTACGAGTCTTCGTACCGTAAATGAATTTAATATATAAACATAATTTAAAATCTTAAAAGAGCTGCCCATTCATATTTCAGCCACCAGCAACTCCGTAAGATGGAAGAGTATTGAATCAGAGCATCTGCAGAATGGAAAACAAGCGAGCGTAAGCAACAATCAACCCCTAACGCACCATTCACAACAGAAGTATTCAAACAATTCGTTCAAAAATGTCGAGAAAACTGGATCAATGTCCGCTCATGTTCCTCCTCGAATCAGGACTCAAAGGTACCTTCTGAAGTTTTAAATTACTGTTAAAAAGTTTGATATTACAATGAGAATAATTAACACATGACGCACCTACAATAATAAAACAGTCCAATTAATAACAACTACCAAACTTGAAATCATTCTCTCTCGACCAGTTGCACGGTACCAGCGCTCTGTGACGTCAGAGTGAATGACGTCATCAAGTTCAGTCAGAAGTTGGGGAGGATGAGTGAGGGTAGGGTGGTTTTTGTCGGCAACCTGCCAAACAAGAAGGACGTTTATTTGGGATTGGAGCTGAAAAACGAAGGTTGTTGTGTTCTTTCCGATAATGTTGCATGTGGTTGATGTTGTGGTTGTCGTTGTAGTCATTTTGTCGTGTCTAATAATTTTGTTACTGTCTGTTTTGTATTATTATAAATATTTGTAGTTAATGAGAACAAAATCGTGTTACAAATTTTATAATCTAGTTGACATGTGGATGAATTTAAGAAATGGTTCTTAGATTCATATTGATTGATTTAATTGAAATAAATTGGTATAATTTTTGTTAGAAAAAGTGCGATGATCAAAAGTATAGTGACGTTTTAAACTTGTCAAAAAGCTAAATAAAATTTTTCGGTCTTAAATTAAAAATATTTTTCAAATTTATATTCGTTATCGAAAAAAATTAGTATAACTTATAACAGCCAACGCAAGCCTTTAAAAATAATTATAGTAAAATTTTATTATTTATTAAAAACAAAAATGATATTAACCATCATATAAATATAACTATCACGTGGTCTTAGTGGGAAAACACGATGGAGTGTATGAAGGGACACGGTATTTCCAATGGTATGGTTAACTTATTTACCTTACACTTTCAATGCATTGTATATTAATTCAAATTTTGTAGACCTTTAACCTTTAATCTTTTAACTTACAAAAACATACATACATCTATAAACAGATAAAGTTAAAGGTTAAAGGTCATTGCTGCTTACTGCACTTGCTGAAAATGCTTCAATTTAAGATGAAATCTAACTGTTGATATTTAAATTTCAAATTTGTAATATAATATAAAGCAAGCAGACGTTGTATTGAATAAATTGGCGTGATTAAGTAACAAATTAATAATATTAAAAAAACGCACAATAAATGAATGAATAACCAAATGAATAAATGGATAAATAAACAAATTTGAATAAATTCAGTGAGCCGAACAGAGGTGTGTTTGTGGGCATGTCCAAAGTTATTTCTGTGGTACGCAAGTCATGAAAAAGAAAAAAGAATTCTTCCATTTTTTTTGTATTTTTGAAATTTGTGTCCACATTTTATTCTTCGAATTAGGTTAAACAATTGATTTGAAGTATTTTTGATATAGATAAATAGTTAAAAATCTTGGGCGGCGTGATGGCCTAGTGTTTAAGGTCGCCTGGTGCCGTTTCGTAATAACCGGGTTCGAATATATCAAAATGATCCTCGCCTACCACATGCTTAGTGTGTGGTGCTTTGTGTTAACATGTATTCATATACAATGTCTGTGGCGTGTTGTTGAATCCTCTGAGCTTTGGAAGAGTGTAATTGACCTTTGATCGGTAGACCAACTTCTTCATTGGATCCATTCAAACTTCTGAGTTGGATTTTAGTTTTTTGATTTAGTAGCTACAATTATTTTCAAGTTTAAGTCAGTAATTAATTCAGTTTTATTTTATTTTTTGTGATTCATACTTTGCATTCAAACAGGCATTCAGTATTTATTTTTTACAAAAATAAAAATATTTACGATGACAATAATTTATTTTAATTAAATACAAAATTGGTGTGAGTGTTTGTTCATTACATTACATAAGTTACATTTCACCACATTAAATTACACGTTAGATTTCACTACATTAAATTACATATATCAAATTTCATTACATTTCGTCACAGTAATCATTTACTAATTCAGTTCACAAAACCGATAAACTAGCATTAAAACATTAAATAGGCACACGATAATCGTCAGTTTGATTGAGTCAATCCTAGAAAAATTTTCGACATCATGCCAAATTTTTACGTGATTCGAAGCAGAAAGTGCAAAAAATGGTTTAACCACGTATAATAATAATTATTTGTTTAGTAACATTACATATCATTTACATTTAATTCAGTGATAAAACATGGTATATACATTTGTTTAGTAATAATACATATTAAATACATCCATTTAATTATGTGCAAGCGGACAACATACAGGGGAGAGATACGTGATGAATTCAACATTTAACGTAAGTATAATGTATGTGCATATCCATTGAGCATATAGAATAGCCCAGTAAAATTTCACATAAAAATAGAGACCAGAAGAGGAGAAAATTCGTTATACTAGTTAAGATAAAATGAAAAATTTAAAATCTCAGGTGCTCAAAACACACCTCTTCAACATAGCAACATCCGTCAGGCCTCTCCAATACCTATAAATGGTTGTTAAATGATTGGAAACATAATTTTGGAACGACCAGGAAACCCAAGCACGAATAAATAATTTTATACAAACACGCTATGTGTATATGTTTCTCTTAAATTTAGTGTGTGCGTGTGCGTGTGTTTATGTATGTTTGATCACATTTGGAAAAGTCTGTGGCTTGTGTGTGTGTGTGTGTGCGTGCGTGCGTAAAGCCAACAGAGTAAACTTGCATTTTTACTGAAGTTTACATTACCAAAAACTGACATTGTGCAGTATTTACCCAATTGCAATCACACTCACACACACAAACACACACATACACACACACTCACACACACTTGTGTACATATAGGTATATATACAGGTATATATTTATAATTTATTCATCATATCTGAAATCATTTTTAAGATTTTATCTGGATAGATAGCACAGGTTGTAAAATCGGTAAAAAAAAGTTACTTCGTTTTTGTCCTAGATGTCATATAGCGTGTATGTGTGCGTGTGTATGTTTGAGTGAGTGTGTTTAAGTGTGTGAGAGAGTGTGTTTGTATGTGTAAGTGTAGGCTTATGTATTGATGTTTATGTGTGTGGTATTTTATTGTGTATCTACTGATACACACGCCAATTAAGTTGTAAGTTTAAATAATCATATAAAAATATTTACAAACCACAAATATTTACATTTATTTAAAATTAAAAAACATTTTAATAAAAATTGAACCAATTTAAAACCAAACAATCTACAACCAGATATATAAATGAATGATTGAAAGATCAAACATTCAATTGATTGATTAATTAACTGATTGAAAAGTTGGCCGTTTTTTAATTATATAAAAAGACATGTGAACATTTAGCGCAATTTTAAAGTTCGACCGATATGTTGATAGAAAGACGAGTTAATGAATGGATGGATGAGTTAATGAAGGATTGAATGAATTTATAAATAAATGAATTTATGAAAAAATAAATGAATAATGGGATGGAGAGATAGATTAAAAAATGAATGAATATTTTTTCGTAAAGTTCTAACTTATAGGGATAATAATCTTATCCCATCCAGATGTATAGGGTGATGTGTGGAAAATACTGTCTAACAGAACCTGAAAAAATTTGTTTAAAATTTAAATGTTTTATTCAACACACACTCACACATACACACACAAATAAACAAACACACACACACACACATATATATATGTGTGTGTGCTGTCAGTAAAAAGTGTTGTTATCTGCAGAACGAGTTGTTATGAATTTACAGAGGAAATTAGATTTTGTTAAGTAGTTATCGTCAGCTGTTTTGAAATCAACATTTGAACTGTTAATGTGTTGTTGACGTGTCGTTCCGATGAGGTTCGGCGTGTTTTTAATGTTAGCCAGTGGCGTGCCATCTGCCAAACTTCTGATGTTCGTACTATGGTTGTTGTTAGTGGAGCAGGTGTTATCGTCACCGTTTGGGTTGTTGTTTATGTAGTTGCTGTTTGGGTTGTTGTTGTTGTTTATGTAGTTGCTGTTTGGGTTGTTGTTGTTTATGTAGTTGCTGTTTGGGTTGTTGTTGTCACTATTATTGCTCTCACATGTGCTACTGCTGATAACGTTGCTGTTGCTGTTATAACTATCTTTGTAAATATCACCGCAATGCAAATGTGCTGAATTAGTTTGCCCGTGATTTTTTGTCCAATTCGAGAAAGATTTTTTCTTCAGCACGTATTGGTTGACGTGTTCCAATTTTATATTTTCTCCACCGAATCTTTTTGGACTGTTGTCATCGGTAATGTGACTTACATTCCTGCGACTCATACCTGTCGCTGCCGAGTCAAAGCCGTTTGAAGTAACATTATGATCAGTGCAACTTTTGTTGGTGTAAAGATGATTTGAAGCCGCGCAGTTGAAAGTACAAGTTGCATTCTGGTTGACGCTGCTGCTGTTCTCTTCGGAAATGTTGTTGTCGAGACTGTCCGACACCATGGATGGTATGTTGAAGGAGTGGTGCTTGTGCAGGATGTTTTGAATCCTGCTTCGAAATTTCGAAGACTTCTGAATGTTTGGATTGTTTATGACGTTTGAAACGTGTGAAACATTAATGTTGTTGTTGTTGTTATTATTATTATTACTATTGTTGTTGTGGAATGTTGACGAATGTTGAAGAGTCAAGTCGCGAGAAAGTTTTGCAAGTTGATCGGACAGTCGGTTGGTGGCTAACTGGAAGTTCTCCTGCATGGAATCCAATTGTTGTGTGAGGAGGGAGGTTGTGTTCGAACCTGGGTATTTGTGGTTTGTGTGAGTGTGAAAGGTTAATGTTTGTGCATGAGCGCCTGTGTTAGTGAGATTGATATAACTTGTAATGAGAGGTCTGGTCATGTGTAATGTTTTAGAGTGGGCTTTAAATTTTATACGTAAGTATTATTATGTGATTGAATGTCATAATAATATACATGTAAGCATGTATAAATGTGTGCGCGGGCGCGTATATATGTGTGTGTCTGTGTATGTTTGTGTATGTGTGTTTGTGTGTGTGTGTGTTAAAGAAAGCAACAAAACTTGCATCTGTTTATGAGTTGAATAAATTGTTGTTTTTTCTATCAGAAGTTTTAAAATATTAGGCTAAAAACAAACAGATTAATCTCAATAATTGACAGTTATGAGCATCTAATAAGAAACATTAATTTTCATTTCATTAATCGTAGAACCTTCACTGTTTCCAACGCTGGCTAACAGGCGATCAAATATGTACCGTCTGACGATATTCTTGATGACGTTCTGTGAAGTTGGATGCATGTGTGTGTGTGTGTGTGTGTGTGTGTGTGTGTGTGTGTGTGTGTGTGTATGTGCCGGATGCATGTGTGTTGTATTTATGTGTGTATATTTGGGACTATTGTCGTTTTGTTCAATGCTAAAATTAAGGATTGCACCAGAAAAAAGACCCGATCAGTTGGCTTTTTCAACTCTAGCAGCCTTACCTCCACATATTGCATCCGAATTAATCCCAAGTGGTTCGTTTCTTGCATTACACATGTGCTCGCCAAAAATGGCTACAAGACTGACCTAGTCTGCTTATATCGAAATAATAATTCTTCATCGGTAAAGGAAAGATATATTATCACTATATAAAACTATAGATTGTCACTGTGCGGTGTTATTAAAATTTTTAGCAATTTTGATCATTTAATTTAAATTTGACAAAAATTAGATAATTGTGTGCAAATGTCAATTTTGTATACATTAAAAAATATATTAATAACTATAAAACAGTTTTTTCAACATTTAATTTTAATTTAGCGACTAAATGAAACAAAATTTTTGTTGCAAAATTTAATGAGTGAGGGACTGGCGTTCAAATTTGTTGTCATTGGTAATAATATTAATTATTATTAATAAAAGTAGTTGCAGTAGCAGTTGTAGCAGTAGCTGTTGTAATAGTTGTAGTAGCAGTAGCAATTGTAGTGCTGGTGTAGTAGTATATAAAAACATCGTTATTATGCTGTTATTAACTTCCACTTTATTTATATTATTTATATTTATCATTATTAACATGCAATAAAATTAGTTTAAGAATTATAACTGATTAATTAATTAATTAATCAATTAATTAGTTTAACAAAAAAAAGAAAAGAAAATTATTTCGAGAGGTGTACGACAAACGAACATCACTGACATCTTTATTGACTGTCGTCGTGACGCTGTCATTTCGTCGCATGCCCCTTGTGAAATTGTTGCCGCGAACATTATCATTATCATCGTTGACGTCGTTGTTGTTACTAATGTTATTGTTGTTATTAGTGTTGCAATAGTTGTAGATGTTGTTGGTTTTGTTATTATCGCTGTTGACAGAGTTGTTCGACTTTTTACTACTTCCATAAATTTTGTGGCTGCCGTTGTTGTTGTTGTTATGTTTCGCCAAACGTTGTTGAAAGTTGTTGTTGTCGGTGTCGTTGTTGTAACGAAGAATATTTCTGTTGTTAATATTTTTTATCTTAATTTGGTCATTTTTGTTGATGTTATTGTTGGCGACGGAGCTAGTTCTGTCTGCGGTGATGAGAGGATACTTATTGTAATTGAATTTGTTTGTGTTCGCTTTCTTCTCGAGAAACTTTTTGTTTCCGCTCATTTCATTTTTTGCGTAAAAATTACAATTGATGCAATATTCGTTGTTGTTGTCGTTGTTTCTCTCGTTATTGTCGTCAACACAGATGAAGTCATTATCGTCGTCATTGTTGTGATAATGTTGATTAACTGTGCTGTTGTTGTTGTTGGCTGTGCAGTTGCTGTTGTTGGCTGTGATGGTGTTGTTCGTGCCACCGATGCTGATATTTTCGTATATCTTGCCTACTGCGTTCTGTAGAGTTTGTCAATTAAAAAATAATTAAATGAAAATTACAAACAAATAAATGAATAATATGCAATTGAACTATCAATGCAAATATAAAAATGAAATTAAGCACGGCGTTGAAGTGGTAAACATTTATGGGACAAACCAATGCCTTCTCCAGCGTCCAATCATTCCTTCCTACCTCTGTCTGCATCTTCTTCCTCAAAGACCGGGATATCGGTCCAAAATTTTTTTTCTTCTCTTTCTTTTCATCGCAAAACGAACCTTCAAAGCACCACGTGACTGCACATTTAAGATGCTTAAAAATGAACTTAGGTGCGAGGAGGATGTTGAATGGAACGGGTAGTGATGATCCGTGGTTGATGTAGTCCAGGTATAGTTTCGAACGTACGTACTTCCATTCTATATCCTGGTCTGTCTGTTGGGTTGGTGTGTGTGTTGTTTATGTGTGTGTATGTGTTGTGCGTGTGTCTTTTGTCTGCGAAGAATGCGTTCGTGTCTTGCTTGTAAAATGACGTTGCGTGGCTGTAACCTCTCGTGTAAGCATTCATTTCAGTGCAGAAGTCTCTAATCTTTGTTCAAAATTTAATTAAGCTTATTTTAAACATTTCTATTTCTAAAATGTCCAAGTAAAAAATAATAATTTTTGTACTTGACAAAAAAAGGAAAAAGTTGTCCAGAATGAGTTTGTGTGATGAAGTTGATGTTTCTCGTTATAAATAATAATAGTGAAGTTGTAGAACTGATGAAAAAATGAATAATACATTAAATATTACAAATAATAATTTGATTTAAACAAGTTTGACAAAAATGCAAATTTTTTATTATTATAATTTAATTAAAAATTGGTCTAAAATTTATAAAATTAACAAAAAATTAAACATTTAGAAATGGGGTCCCAGCAAACGATCTTATACAAAAACGTAGATCGATGCACTCCGCTATGAAACAACTCGACTCACCACACATCAACGTAAAAGATGGATGAAGCGACAACAGCAAGATATCACGACAGACAACCATTCACAACTTTTAGTGACTGTGAATAAAGACATAACAGCCAACACTGAAAGTCTCGAAGCATGCCACGTAGCTGAACATAAAACTTACAGACGCGATGAACCGCTGAACTACATATACACACAGAACATCGTACTAGGACACCCTGATGTGTTATACCATGATAAGCACACAACAAAACCTAACGATTTTGTCCAAAAAGCAGCATAAACAAGACATTTAAACACACAATGGAACATATTAGCAGATAAAATAGTATATAAATGAAACTCAACAACAACAAACATTTGAAACAAAACACAAAGATGGCACATTGACGACAAAAGCATGTTGATGAGGAATAGCATGTGGTGCGCCACAAGACGGAGAGAAATCCCTAACGGGCGAAAACCCATGAGCGAAAACCCATAAACGGATGCAAATTTTTACGCGCGCATATACAGGTTTGAATTATAGGTTTGAATACACATACAAACGCATACAATTTTGTACACACACACACACACACACACACACACACACACACACACACACACACACACACACATGCAAACACATACAGCTTTGTACACGCATACATACAAATTTGAAGACACATACAAAAGCATACAAATTTGTACACGCGCACTTAAAAATTTGAAAACACATACAAACTCACACAAACGCACTTTACCAAGCCGACACATTTGATAATAAGGACGCATGGTGATGATGATGACGAATGAAACTCACGGCGATCTTATCGAAGGAGCGCGTCATCATAGCGATGAGCATGTTGAGGAGAACGATGACTGCACCCCAATTGTACACACCGAACACGATGTAGCCCACACTCTCCGTGAATCTACTCTCAAATCCTCTGCCGAGTTCCACCGTCCGTGCATCCTTCAAACCGAACAGGGCCCAGAAGGTTGTACGAAACGTCAATTCTAAACTTTAAAATTATGGTAGATTACTTTTTTCAAAAATACTAAAAAATGACACATTTAAAAGACAGACTGTGATTTCATAACATTTGAACCAACATACAATAGATATTTCATTGAAGTGTTTCGCGAATAATAACTAACTTTCCGAAGCCCTCCTGTGCATTGGTTTCAATCTTGTGGTCCTTCATTTCGACCACACTGCGAACTCTGGGGTCGTAGTACCAGTACAAGTTGTGCATACCTACCATGAAGGCCAGGAAGATAGGAACGAATGTGACCATGAACTTCATGACGTCCTGGTGGGAGGAGTCATCGTGTGAATGAAATGTGGTGGGAGGTCTTAATGAATGATTGATTGGCGGATATTTGATTGTTCATTTTAATTGATTGATTGATGATTCGTTTGTTACGAGGAAATTCTTTTTGATAAAATGACTAAAAGTTGCGAACGTTAATGTCATACTCAGCTCCCAGACAAAAACAAGCTTACTTGATGTCATACCGACGCATGTCCTTAAAAAATACTTAGATTTGTTTATTTGCTTCCTCACCAGAAGCTGGCTGCGTGTTATTTATATTGCATGAATCATTTTTTAATATTATTACTAAACAATACATAACAGCCATACATTGGTTAATTGACACTTTTGTGTTAACACACATTTATCTACAACAAATGAAAAAGTGGAATGTTAGTATCATTAATAGTTGCAACATTTGAATATCAAACACATCTACACATCAAACACATCTACACACATACACACTAACTCACGCACATACATATAAACTCACGCACGCACACAAACTTACAGGCACGCGCACACACAAACGCACGCGCGTCAAACATGTATTGTATACGTACAAACAAACAATACAAAACAATTCCTACTATGAATTTTGTAAGATGAGAAGAATATAGATAACAAGTTTCAACATACAATATAATCTGACATAACATCGATTAGCATAATAATAAAGAACAATAACTTTTGCCGTGTCAATTTTTTATAGTACAAATATGATAAAGATAAGCGATGCGTAAGATGAATGGTATTAGTTTGAAAGGTAGTTTATACACTGCATAGGTTGAGGTTTCTTATTATTTATCGTTATTTTTCATTTTACTAATATTTACGGACGTCATTTTCTGGCATATATTGAATTCTTAGAGCAATATTTATTAATTGAAACTTTTATTTTTGAAAGAAAATTTAGAAAAAATTGTCTACAAAAAAATGAAATGATGTTTTTGATGTCATTACAATCTGTTGGTTTAGCGTGAAACAAGCATGTCATTCATGTTTATAACCGGAAAATCAAAAAAGCCAGCCTGTTGAAAAACACAGAAAAAAAATTATAAGAATGATATGATATGCATAGTACTGAATATTTAAATAGGAACAATGAACATGACAAAAGACGACAAAGTACGTATTACCAGACATACTGTGAAGTACACGTAGTAATGTGGTATGGTTTAATTATCAATAGTAAACTATCGAAAATATATATCTTACTTATGAAAATATAAAATGAATATAAAACAAAATAAAATATAATTACGAAAGAAATATGGAAGGTAATAAAGAGAGATATGGAAGGTAATAAAGAGAGAGGACCTTGATCATCCTCTCTAGCGATATGAGCATCGGACCAAGATGTTCATTGATGGAGAGTAGATGGAAGAGACGGGCGAAGTTGATGATGTTGCCGACCGCGAAGAGAGCTTCACAAACATGCACAGGATCCCAGGAATCCCAATAGTATCTGTCTGTTGTTTGCGTTGTTGTTGTCAGATTGTGTTTGTGTTGTTTTGTTATTTTTGTTTGTTTGGAAGCCAATAAAATATTGTATCTTATGGAGTTAAATTGGTATAGACGGTGTTGTTGTTGTTGTTGTTAATGATGATGATGAGGATGATGTTGTTGTTGCCATTGTTGTCAAAAAACGCATAATTCACCACAAAGAAACATCATAAATAACAATAAGCGGCAAACAATAAGAAGACAAACTGCAGTATAGATTGATGCATTCAGCTATAACTTAAAAGCAACTCGGCAATTCATTTGTTTCATTTCTCAATTTTTTACAATTATTTCTTGGAGGTTTCGGCTTTTTCATTTAAAACAAACATATAACACAACAAACAAACAAACAGACAGACAGACAGACAAAACAAACCCGCATCGAGCCAGTAGAACCAGTACACAGCAGCTGGGTCATCGTCCTTCAACTTCATCCATGATGCGGCATTTTTGTAGAATGTTAAACTTTTCCAGATCTAAAAATAAATATACAACATCTAAATTTTATGCATTGATAACACGTTGTGTTTGTTAAAAAAATTGTACTGTAATAATTATTTTGGCATGTTTGGTGTGATGTGGAGGTCTGTACGCTGCGATTGTGCAGTGATCCATTCATTTGTGTTGTTTTTCGCGAAGATGTGTTGTTTGTGATGTGTTATGATGAGTTGGGCTGTAATGTAATGTAATACATGTAATGTGATGTAATTGTATTGTGATGTGTTGTAATGCATTGAGTTGTTTGTGCTGTCTCTCAATGCTATGCCTTGTTCAAGTTTTTAACTATTTTTCTCTTTCAAAAGGACATTCATCATTTCGCGACATCTTAAACAAAAAATCCTTCCAGGAATTATTTGTTCGTTATTGTTGCTGGCATCGTTACGATCAACGTCCTTATCATCGTCATCGCAGTAGTTGTCGTCATCATTCTCGCCGCTTATTTATTTATCATTTCCACCATTACCACTATCATTATTAATATTAACATTTCAAACCTCCATATCAGCCGCAAGGCTCTAAATTTTTGGTAAGGATGATTCAAAAACAAAAAATGTAAGCACTCAGATCAGATGAAAAATAACTAAACATTTAAAAAATTGAAAAAAAATTAAAATATAAAATTAAAAACTTAACATAAATAACACTGCAAAAATTTGATGTTTAAAAAAACATCCTCAAAAATGCACAGAGTGAACGTGTGAAAAGACAGCGTTGAAATTAGAAAGCAATAAAGATATGCAAAGGAGCCAACCAACCAGTTGTTCTGTGATACGTCTGAGAGTGAATGATGCCATGTAGAAGCCGAGCATGAAGAAGTCCATCGCGTTGTAGACGTTGATGAAGTGGTCTCGGCAGCCGGTGCGGTATACTTGCTGGCAGGCGTTCCATAGCATTCCTGTTTTATGATCATGTTAGATATGCTGGTGCTGAACCAATTTTGAACATTTTGGAGAAAAATTGAAATTGAAATAAAAAAGTATTTAAATTGTCTAAAAACAGCAGTTGGTGATTGTTCAACCTGTATTCAATTGTTTATTTGAATGTGCAGTGCATTAAACACAATCAAACAAACTAAAACAATTATCAAAGCAAACGCTCTGTTAACTGACGATAACTTAATTCCACCCGCTTACTTGCAAACTAAGATAACAAAATTATACAATTTATTTGAAAATTGTACTTTACAATTCTTTAAACTAACCAACCAATCAACCTACTGAACAACCAATTAATCAACCAATCAAATAATCAGCCAAAAAGCCAGCCAATCAACTAGCCGACCAATCAGCCAACCTGATATCCAAAGCAAAATGCAGACCTCCATGGCAGCAGGCCTGTAGTTCCTGATGCAAATTTCAGAGACATTTCTGCAATGAAAACTTCTTTTTAGCACCATGCATTCATTTTCATTAGCTGGTCTGTTAATGGAGCCATCGACGTATGCGTTCAAGTGATTTGTTGCAGATTTCAAATTTTCAAAGACCGTTGAATTGCGAATGATGAAAGAGGAAGAAAATGTTTTGATGTGGTTGGCCAACTGGTCATGTTGACCCAAGCGCTCCTGACAGAGTTTGCCTTGCTCAACATGACCCTGGATGACGATGAGGAAGAGGAAGAAGATGTAGGAAGCTGCATTCACGACGAACTTCATGCATGGGGTTTTCATTAGTTGGGACACCTTGGGGGCGATTGAGGCGATCCATAACAAAAAAATCCATACGTGTTGATGATGAATGATGTTGGATGGATTTATGTTAGGTTGATTTGTGTTGGATGGGTTCATGTTGGATGCATTCGTGATGGATGGATAAAATAATATGGTCTGTTTGTGTTGTGTTGTTTTATACTTGCATTACTTACTCGAGGCGTGCGGTTGAAATCTAACGTACGTGCTTGTGTGAGTGTGTGCGTGTGTGTTTGTACGTACGACATGCATGCAATGAAGCATGTGTTTGTGTTCTGATGTGATTTGATGGCGAGCGTCCGTTGCATTGTGCGTCTGTTCGCCTCCACATTCTGTACTCTAATTGTGAAAAAATGCGTAATGCTTAAGTTCTTAGCACAAAACACCGCATAATACAAATAAGATAAATTTAAAGATTACAATAACAATGCAAAAATTCATGGGACTCAAAAGCACTGAGCCCATGTTTATGAAAGTTGCGTTTATAGATTTCGTCATTTTTTGAAAACTGAAAGTGAAAGATTGACACATGTTGACGGGGTTCAGGCGAAGGCATACGCTTGTTTGGCCACATCAGATGATTTTATTTTCATTCACAAACATGTTCATTCGATCATTCCTAAGAATCTGAGTTTTCCATTTTTGAACGAAACTTATCAATGAACCAACCATGAAGTCTTACAATAAACATAATTGACAGCATGTAAAATAACTCCAGAACAACTGAGTTCACGTAGCTTTATTTCTAAAACTACAATTGCTGTTACTACTACTATTACTGCTGCTGTTGCTACTGCTACTACTACTACTACTGCTACTACTACTACTACTACTACTACTACTACTACTACTACTACTACTATTGCTACTACTACTATTACTACTACTACTACTACTACTACTAAATCTTTCACTACTATAGTAATAACATAAAATTATAATCAAGCAAAAATTAATTTGAATAATTTCAATTATAAGCCTAACAACAAAAGATGGTTTTTGAAAGTGGTTAAAATCAGTTTTAAATAAATAAATAAATAATTGGCCTGAAATGTTACCTTCAAGTTTGGGAAGAGGATGTAGACAAGTGATAAGATAGGAAAGAAGAGGATGATGACGAAGATGATGAGTGCATGTAAGAAGCTAGACCTGGACATGAGGTTGTTGTTGTTGAGGTCATGAAACCACAGAGAGGTCAATTTTTTCTGACAACTTGGATGTGCCACAAACTGGTCGACAATGTTTTTAATGATTGGTCTTGCTGCTGAAGTTGTCGCTTGTAATGATGTCGCCATGGTTATAATGAAGGATGTGTTTTTTCGTATTTGAGATTGTTGATAGCAAAATATACATGATAATGTGATTTAAAAATTATTCTATATTTTATAGGTAGCCAATGCAAAAGAACAAAATATGGAGATATATGAGCAAATAAAGAAACACGAGCAACTACACGAGCAGCAGAGTTAAGAGCTTCACTTAAAGGATTGTTTATAAAATCAGAAAGACCATAGGAGAGCAAGTTTCTATAATCAATTTTAGATAAGACTAAAAAAGTAACAAGAATGTGGAGAGTAGGATTGTCAAGAAAAGGCAAACGTTTTGTGTTCTACGTAAATGAAAGTAAGTCTGCAAACAGATCGCTTTTCACAAACCCATATAACATGAGTTCTACTTTGAAAAAACGTAAACATGACTTGGATGTCAATAGTCGCAAATGTCCTGAAAGGATAAGACACGAGAAGGAAAAACGTGTAATTAAATGAGCACCTACATCAAAAACTTTACAATAAACTTTCTTTTGCTAAATCTGCACTTGCTTTTTCTGGGCCTTTTCTCTGGAACTCTCTACTTCCTTCGCTGATCTTTGGAATTCTCTACCTCCTTCGTCCATCACTTACGAAGTTTCAGAGCAGATCTCAAGACCCATTTGTTTGCTCAAATAATGCCTATATAAACATTTCCCATCCCATTGAAAGTATTCGTTAATTGACAAATCTTCCTAATGTACGATTCTGAACAAGAACTTTTACTTGATTGTATTCTCGTTTTTGCTAGCGGATTCTAGCTATTACAACCGAATGCGGTACGTTTGGCACTGTTCACTATACTCTATTCAAGTCGTCTATTTACACTCAGTCATTCCATGTGTATATGCCCTTTTGCCAAATAAAACGCGTGCCACTTGTGCCAAAATGTTGCTCAAATTGAAGAACGTGCAACCGGGACTGACTTCGAGCAAGCCGCCATGCAGGCAGGTTTTTAATTACCTTTGATTAAAAATAAAATTTTGATTTTTGATTTTATGATTTACTGGCATTCAACATCAAATTAACAGAAATTGGAAAAACTGGTTGTTTTTTCCATCTATCGCAATGCGTTTGGAGGCGAGTACAGATGAAAGGTTTGAAGATAAATTTTTTTTGTGTTTTTGAAAATATGTAGTTTTTAAAATTTTACAAAAATAAGGTGTTCAAGTTAAAAAATCTTATTTGTGGGCGGATTACAAATTTGCCCAATAGATAAAAATGTTGTCGTCTCTGGAATTTGTTGAGCCTGATAATGTGGTCCAAGCGTATGAAGAATTGACCAGAAAAAACCAATTTCGTGGTAAATCCATGAAAATTGCAAACTATTTTGAAGAGATACTTACATTAGGAAAGAACAGCGACGTGGCCGATGTTGCCGATTGTTGTATGGAATGTTCATCAGCGGATGTTAGATAGACGGCAACGCACCAATAATGATGCAGAGCTTAAGCATTATATCTGGATGCCGGATGCCGAAACCTCTCTCATATTGACAAATTCCCAGTCTTCCTATTTTTGCACTTTACACCAACAGACTTTGGTCGCAGCCCACCTATAGTAAGCATCCGAAATTGATAAATTGATAACATACATGGGTCGGGAAAAATTCACCCCCATCTCCACTAGGAAAAAGTCCTCGGGAAACAGGAAAATACCGGTAACGTTTTACTTTTCATCCCCCCATAGGTTGGTCCTATGACCATTTACGGTGATTAATTTCCCATTCTTACCTGAAGTTTATACGGTACTTAACTTACCATTATAGGTTGGCAGCAAGCCTTCCAGTAGACCCGTCCATCTACCGTTTCATAGATTTTCTCAAAAAGCAACAGGCTGCTCAAAATTATGATGCTGTTCAACTTCTCATGAGTAATCCCGGCAATTCAAGAAACAAGGCCATTTCACAGCAAATAAAAACAATAGTTCAAACTTTAAATGGAAACGTTACTGACCGATATTGATTACATAAGAGGTATCGCGTACAATTTCTATTTTATTTTGTATTTATTTTGTACCTTTTTAATCTTTTTAATCTTTTCAACGTAACTTCTTTATAGTGTGTCCGTTTTTGACAGTTTGTATTTAAAATGGCATTTGTATGGTCAATTTTTGTTTGACGGGAGTCCAGTCCAGTTGTCTTTTTCCCCAATTTATTTGTATATTCACATGTCGACAATTTTCATTCAATGGTTTTGAGGGAAGCATTTATTTGATTTATGTTCCATGTTTTCAGTTCATATAGCAATCCATCAATTTATTCATTATTCTAATTATTCATTCATCCATTCATTCGACTATTAAACGTTCCATTTGTTGAGTCATTCATTATTTATTCCACCCATCAGTTCATCCATCAATCACTTCATTTATTGTTTTTATTCATCTATTTATTTATTTATTGACTCATTTATCCATCGATTCATTTTTTCACTCAGTATTCATTCATTCGTTCGTTCGTTCGTCCGTCCGTCCGTCCGTCCATCCATCCATCCATCCATCCATCCATCCATCCATCCATCCATCCATTCATTCATTCTTTCATTCAATCATTCGTTTTTGTTCATTCATCATTCATTTACCAATTCATCCATCAATTCACACACAGAGGAACCTTCTTCTCCTTGTATTTGATAGCCAACTGCAACCTGGCTAGCTCTCCGCCGGACGTCTCATCACCATCTTCCTGCTGACCATCCCTCGCATTCAGGATGGCGTTCAACTCCTCGTTTCCGTGCACCTTGTCCAGCAACTTCACTGCGTACTCACTCAGCTGGTTGGCCAGAGCGGAATATTCTGCCTGTTGTGCATCGATTTATTGACGGTTTCAATCGATAGAGCTCTTCTATTCATTAAAATAATTTCGTCAACAACAAGAGCAACCCATTTTTTGTTAGTTTTTTTTTATTTTGTTGAGTGAAGCGTGAATGATAAATAACATAAGTTATATTATTCGTTTCTTGAATTTTATTACATATTTTACATTATTTTAAATGATTTCAGTTAATTTAATTTAATTAGCGAATATTTTCTCATTTTTAGTGATTTTTTTAAAATTTATTTTACATGTTAATTTTAATTTGTTCATTTTCATCATGCATAATTTTCTGTGTGAACCTCAGCTCAAAAAAACAAAACCTCGAAACAGACAAAAATAAACAGAACAATTCAAACCAAAAAACTACAAACACAACAACAAACAAATGTTGAAATACGTTTAAGTACCAAATAAACAAATAACCAACGACACATTTAACGAACCACATGCAAGCAGAACTGACACACGCACGCGTGCATAACAAACAGCACCAAGTGTAGAGTCAACGGATCGAATTGAAACTAAGTTAACCAACCGATAAAATAAATAGAGAGAAAACAAACGAACGTACGAGCGAAAAAACAAATAGAAAAGGAGACACAAAAAAAAATAAAGAAGCATGATGAAGCCAACAAGAAACAACTAGACAAACAAGAAGCGGGTCGATGACAGGCCTTCGCATTGGTTCATGTAGATTAGAAGACAGAAAGCATATATAACGGAATGGAGAATAGAAACTGTGAAATGTTGGATGGTATCTGTTTCTTCCTTGTTTGATATGAATCTCATTTGAAAGTTGCACTATCTTTTTTAAGCCCACCTCATTAGCCTCAAGTCACACAACGCACAAATATGCATGACGTTTCATTTCTCCGTCTCATATATGGCTTATGCTTGGAAAGGTGGGGATATTTTGTTATCCTGACGGGTTATTTAATTATTAACATGTCTTATACATGTTTTTTGATAATTTTCATAAGTTAAAAATAAATGTTTAGATTGTAGAAACTGAAATTTAAAAATAACCGAACACATGTAAAGTATGTGGAAGAAAATTATAGAATGGAAGAGTCCTGAGTATTCTATTGAACGTACATATGACATAACTATAATAAACATAGCGGAGAATTACTGAATAACAAACAATAGAATAAAATAAATAACATAAATAGATATAAAAAAAATCCTATTAAAAATATAATTTATATGCTAGATAACTGCTGAAATAATCTGATTTAATATGCATAAAAAAATGTTTCCAGATCTACATGTATATTGGTAAAAATACATGCACAGTGAAGATAATATTTACTTCACTGTCTGTAATAATACAGACAGTGAAGTAAATATTGATTATTTCAATTTGGAAGTTATATGCAAGTTTCAAGTTGAAAGGTCCGTTATCTAATATCGCGACGGAATAAATAATGAGGAATTAAATCAGTTTGGAAAACTTGGATGCAAAATTCAGCAGCGAGTCTAATTTGTTTGTTAGCAACTAAATTAAGTAACTGAATTAAATTCGGTGATAAATCTCTGAAAAACATGGTTTTCTTTTAATTTAGCAAATAATAAATAAATATTACGTTTTTAATAGAGTAAAATGTAACATCAATTGATCAATAGTTAATGATATAAAAAATTTGAATTCAAATTAGGATAGGGTTGGGGTTACATTCACGAAGAAAATAAAAAATGTTCCGTGATGTTACAGATTCCTCCCGGCTTGAAAGGTGAAAATATGATTGAAAATCTCGTGAATACTGATTGATATTCAAACAAATATTCAAAAAGTTGTTAGCGAAAAATTTTTGTTTAAAGAAAAGTAAAAAAAACGGACCCAAAATTCATTTTCTAGACTACATCACTGCCTGTAGAAGCTACATGCATTTAAAACTGGAGATATGGAAAGGGTTTGTATTTATTTTGTGTGCATCATCATATGCTAACAAGCGATGCATACAGATAAAATAATCATATCAATCCTGCCTCGTCTCTAATCTCATGGTCATTACATTGATGTGAATTCAATCAAGAATGTGAAACATAGCTTCAAATTTTGCAGTTGTCACTCAGAAGTTGAATGTTAAAATAAATAATTGAGCTTCCGTTTCAATTGAGCTACAGAGGAGATATGTGAAACCTTTTAGCCGATAATAACCCGATATATTCATGAACGAACATCTTCATTTAGCGTGCAGTGCAACAAACATTCTGCATTGAAAATACTCGAAAAGAAACGAGAAATTTAGTAATTTTTTAAACAATTTACATTCGTTTACTGATACATGAAATGCATTTTTGCATCATTTGTCCTAGTAGCCAATCATTTTAAAACTGAAAGAAGGACAAAAAGTAAATTTTCCCAGAGTCAAAAAAAACCAGAAGCATATTTAAGATGATAATTGACGATCAGCACGAACTAGCTCACCAAAAGAACAGAAAAGTTGAATCTTCCTCGCATGGAAATGCAGCAGCTGCTGCAACTGATCTCAACAGAATATTAAATGATTCCATTCTGCTTCAAAACTTTAAAGCGTAACCTCACATAAATCACAAATCAATTTTAGTTACTATATAAATAATTGGTTGTATTTATTTTCTAGAATTGATAACAAACAATTTTAACTTAGAAATATAATAAATTGAAACAATTTCCAATATAAGATATACATAGGAAGAAAATTTTGAACGCACACAACCTCATGCGGAGATTCAACGCTTGTAATGTCTGCCGCACTTGTCAGCTGCCTTTTGTCGTGCTTTCTTATTTATTATTTCGGTATTGAAAATTTAATCAAACTACGATTAGTTTATTTTTTTAAATATTTTTACGAGAAGAGATTCTTCAAACGTTCTGCTCTTACTGCCGAAGTATCATAATTGACATTTTGTTGAATTTTGTTGGCTGCCTCTAACGTATCTGTAATAATATTTACTTTCTATCTTTCGCAGTAGCAATCGCAAATGTCCACCAACTGACTAATTTATGTCTGCGTACCAACGTCATGTTTTGCTTATAGATTTTTATATATTCCTTACTTATAAGTTCATTAAGTTACAAGTTAACAGACGTTTGATATAAAAAATTTTTTCAGTTTTGGTTGTATATTATAAGTTTTTGATAAAAAAATATAGATGAAATGAAATTCTGCTTTAAGATTTTTTGAAATTAATTTTTACAACACTTTATAACAATATTCAAAATTATCAAGTCAATCCACAAAACCCCATCATTGGTCACTCGCATACCTAAAATGACTAAAAAGATCTAAAGAAATAAAAATCATAAGCCAGCCAGCCAGTATGTTCATGATATGGTAAAAGTTCGTGTGTTGCATAAGTCTGTGCTGCAATGGGCCACTGAAACAGGCAATAAACCAAAAGGTGTTCACTATCAATATATGAGGTGGGTTGGTCACTAAATGAATATGTAGGTGGATGCAATTAATTAATATTAGAGTTTGTTAGTTACATTAACTCGATGCACAATGAAATAAAATTCTCAATCTAGTATAAATCTAATTCCACGAATTAGACGTTGTTAATTTAGATTGAATGAATGACAGGAAAAACACGTGTGCGTGCGTGTGCGTGCGTGCGTGTGCGTGCGTGTGCTAAAAGTGCACAAATTAAAAAAATGCTAGAGAACACATAAAATAAAAAAATTAATTAAAAAGGAAATTATAAATTAAATTATACAAATGAACGCGTCTGGAAATGAATAAACTAACCGCGTAATATTTCTCATCTGTAGCCACCTGTTGAAATGTGTGTGTGTGGCTTGTGTGTGTGTTTGTGTGTGTGTGTGACTCTGTGTGTGTGTATGTGTGACTGTGTGTATGTGAGTCTATGTGTGTGTGTGTGAGTCTGTGTGTGCGTATGTGTGTGCCAGTGTCTGTCTGTGTGTGTGTGTGTGTGTGTGTGTGTGCGCGCGCGACGGGACATTATTATTCAAATAATTAAAAAATACATCTCTTCAGTTATTTGGATTTATTGAAGTTACGTAACGCACAATAATAGAATTAATTATGTGTAAAAGTAATCTATGAATTATGATTAATATTTTTTTCTTATTATTATTATTACTATTATTAATGTTTTTAAAATTATTATTATTGTTGATGTTTTTTGTTAACATTTTTCATGTTGGGATTGTTTTCGTGGCATTTTTTTAAAATTCACGCCATAATTGCATGCTGATTCTTCTTATTAATTGTCACGATGTAATTAATTACAATCACACGGTTTTCATCGTATTATTATTAATAATTATTTTTAAAATATGAAATAAATAAATTAATATTTATGATAAATATAATAATTATAATACAGTAATATAATAATTATAACAGATATGATTATTATATTATAATAATTATAATAATTTATAATATAAACCTGTTGAATTTCCTTCCTGAGTTTGAACGAAGTGAGAATGGGGTCGTCACTGGAAAGGGAGATGTATGCTTCGCTGGACATCCCGCGGTAAGCGTTCAATCGCGATCTTGCAAACTTCAACTCGTCTCTACTCGTCTGATCATATTTGTTTCATTTTTTTCAAAAGCTATTTTTTTCCATTTTCTTTTTAGTATTTAATTTTATTTGACACTCAATTAAATATTGGACTGCTATTAATATTTTCTATTATTCATATAAATATTTGCAAAGATGGTATTATCAAGTTTATTCTAAAACTTTATTTTGAATTTAAACTGTTATAAATCAACTAGCATAAAAACAACTGCAAACAGTTTAGTGAGCCAATCGATCAATAAACTATTCAGCCAGCCAGCCAGCCTACTGACCAACAAACCAACAAAAAAACCAATCAACCCACCAAACAACCAACCAACCAGTCAACTAGCCAACCGACTAACCTGTCTCAAGCAAGACAAACAGGGGCAGTTGCATCTGTGGGGTCTGTCAATCTTTTCTTGCTTTAACAAGAGGGCCATCACAACTTCAAAACGATTTTGTTGAGAAGCAAGTATCAAAGGAGTTACCTGAAAATTTTTTAATTTTTAATTGGAAAAAACTCCACAAAAAATAAGTTTTACCTATAGACATTAACAGTTCTTAACAACACATCTCTCACTTCCTCCTCAAAGAATTGATTATCATCAGTGATGTTCGTGCTAGACCCCCTGACGTCGCTTGAGATATTTTGGGATTTCAGGTCACTGCTGATGTTTGCGTACTTTGGATGTTCAATGATGATCTCCGCAATTTCTTCGTTGCCGATGTTGATGGCGGCCAGGAGGACTTTGTAGAGGCAATGATGGCTGACCAGGTCCAGGAGAAACCTTACGACCTTGCAGTATCATCAACTCAAGGTTAACAATCTCGTGAATGTCTATTAACATTATATCAAACGACCATCAGAGTTATAAACCTTGCTTCCACATATTTGGTTTGTTCCATGTTTATTTTATCAATGAATATCAAGCATGAAGGGAAATCTCCACAATAAAATTTACTCAAAATTGGTTGTTCGACTATGATGGGCTATTGGATGCACGCTCAAAAACTCAAAAATAGTTTTACAACACGGATGTTGAATGAAGTTAAATTGCTTAATCAAATAAAATAAATTAATTTTGGTTATTTAATCGTATTAAGGTACACTTTGTTCGTGTTTGTTTCACTTTCATCACATAATTTTCCATTTTTCCATGTAAGTTTATTTAAACAAGTTTTTGTTTTGAAAAATCTCTAAAAACCTTAAAATTTTTAAAAGTTTTTGTAAACAAAAGTATTTAATTAGAGGAGTAGTGTGACTTGAGACATAAATAATTGGACAATTTATTCAATTTTGCACTCAGCTCATTCAAGCATTTTTCGAACGTGACAAGCAGGGCTGAGAAGAGATGTGCGTTAAAAAGTCTCAAGTTCTTTCAACGTCTAAGTTTTCGCTTTTATTCAAAACGTCTGCTTCGAAAAATTTTATTTTTACTTTTGTTTACAGTTAAAGGAAAATAAAAAAAAACAAAAATCACATACAAATCTCATTAAATTGACTAACAGTTCTTTCATTTTAACATGTTGTTCATGAGAATACAAACAAATGAGTTCAAACTAATCTACATTCAAATTTTGACTTTGTACATCTTATCACATATTGAGAGTAAATACAACTACAACAATCACAAACACAACAGACAACAACCACAATTTTCCTAATTTATTCATTCAGGCAATTTGCATAATTTATTCATTTAGGTTATTTGCATAATTAATTCATTCAGAAATAATGTAATCATCAGGAAAGCATCATTAGCAGCAGCAGCAGCACACCTCCTTATGTTCGTTGACGACCGCCAAATGTAGGGGAGTCCTTCCGAGTTGGTCCGTGTACTCGATGTTGAGCTCGCCTGGCTTGCAACTGTCCAGTAGCCACCTCATTTTCGTCAGGTTGCCAGATTCTGCTGCCTCCAACAAATCCTCCTCCTTGCACGATTTTGTCTGATCATGGAGAAGATGTGATGATAATGATAATGACGATGGTGTGATGATGATGACGATGGTGTGATGATGATGACGATGGTGTGATGATGATGACGAGAGTGACAACTTCTACGAGAATGAACACGACAAAGATGATGATAGGTAGACGTGATGATTTTTAAAATGTTTCTGTTCTGCATTTCTAATATATTAATACTGACAACTTTGATGGATTAAAATGATTATACATTTAATTATAGAAATAGCATAAAAATTGTTACTTTAGAGCACCAACGAAAACAAACGATATGTCCTGCTTCCATCCTGATGGCATCTTAATAAGCACGGCTAAATAAATTAAGCCAACGATTTATTATTGCGCTGAAGATAGTTTAGTGAAAATTATGATGGTGAATATGACAATGATGATGTTATATAGAATGACTGAGTATGTAATAAATCTAAGAAAGGTTTTTGATTAAGATAACGAACAGATGGTTTTAACTTCTGAAGAACAGATGAGGATGGTGAACATGTAAACGATGGCTAAGTAAAATAGATGATAAGATATGACTAGATAATGACAAGATATGATTAGATAATGATTACGAAATGGTGATGATAGTAGCGAAATAAGACAAAGAAGGTAATAATGTGTCATATTTTACATCAAACAAATTCCAACAAATATCGTTAAAAGATTCAAATATCGAAGGTCGTCTCCGTCATAAAATCATTATTCATTGAGCTGTCTCAAATACATTAAAGTCATTTTTACCTAAAAAAAATAATTTAATAGAGATCGAAGAAAAAGTTTCACGGGCGGTTGAATGTAACTTTTTGCTTTTTCAATGTTGATTCCATCAGCACTCAAACGTGAAGTATCCTCAAAAAGATGAAAAGAGACGACGGGCATAGAATGAGAAGGAAGAGGAAGAAGAACAAGGAAGAAGTTGTTGATGTCGACACGTGACCGGGTGCGTCATCATGACTGGATAGTCTCGTGTTATAAATTATCAGTGTTAATGCCATAACAGCTCTCATCACGTGCACTTAGATTCGTGTACGTGTGCGCGTGCGTGCATTCGGCGAATCTGCTTAAGGTTTTGTTTTCCAAGAACAATATCAAATGTTGTCACACAAATACAGAAAAAGATGTTTTTTTTGTTTTTTTTGCAGGGTTTCTATCAAAATAAAAAAATATAAGTTTTTTCTGAACAAACTATCAGTTTTTTTTATATTTGCAATATTAAATTACAGTTGTTGTATGTTGACAAAAATGTTCGCGTTGAATTGAAGCCCAGTAAATTTAGACTATTTATATATATATATATGTGTGTGTGTTTGTGATTATGTGTGTGTGTGTGTGTGTGTGTGGTGTGGGTAGTGTGTGTGTGTGTTTGTGTGCGTGCGTGTGTGTGTGTGTGTGGTGTTACATGGCAAGAGTTTGAAACAAGTCCAAGCAACAACGCACGCACGTTATTAAAACTAGGACACCAATACTTACTGCATGGTATCCAAGTTCCGGCAAGAAAAATCTCTCGCGTTCATTAACTTCCGGTTAATAAGAAATTTTTATTTCCGTTTGCTTGTGGGCTTCTTAATACAACAACTCATATTCAAAATAAATATGGCGACTCTGACGCCTGAGAAATAAATTTCTTCATTATTTTTCTTTTTGAAACTTCTACTTGCCAGACAACTGTAAAGAAAGCCAAAAATTTTCAACAACGACAACAGTGTTAACGTCTAGACAGAGAAACAACAACTTGATTTTATTAAATTATATATAACACAGTTTTCTATTGAGAAAAAGTTTTAAACGTAAGATCGAAAATAAGATAAACCATTGAGACGGCATCAGAGTGTTGAAAAAGAATCATTAGATCCATTAGCAGTGAGTGGATATTTGCAGAGGAGAGCGCTAAACATGACTTGAAGTGTCATATGGCACAATGCTCAGTGTCAACCATGACAACTAATTTCGTGATGTCGTAAAAGCCAGGACGTCAAAAACTTAATTGAACCTTGGCGGAAAAATATTTCCTCGCAGGAAAGATACTCGAGCGTATGTTACATGGGCGCGTTATTTTGTTCTGTTTGACATGCCAGTCTCACCCTGTTTTTATCTTAACGATTCTGAAAAAAATCCCATAGCACGCTGAATGTAGTACAATAATTATAAAGATGGCTCAAGAAGAAATGTTTTAGTTTCAAATTTTTATTTTCAAAACAAAATATTTTAAAGAATTTAAAGAATTAAAGAAGGGAAAAATTTTTAAGATAATTTTCAAAGTTTTTCATGCAATGGATACTTTTTATATTTTCTTGTTTACATTTCTATCAAATAGATTGCTAAGATCTCGCAATGTTTTTTTTTAATTGTTGCGAACATCAGCACTGCTAAATAGCCATAATACTCTGAACAGCCCAAATGTGAAGCACATTTTTATTAACAAAACACCAGCACCCGGAGAAACTTTAATTTGAAAAATTTCACGAAGTAATTTATTTAAGAGTTAGAGCGCTGGGACAAAAGTTAGAACATGGTGCCTGAATGTCTCTTCAGCGTTAGGAGTGATGCAATTCATTTGATGATGAGAACGCGATAACTACACAAACACATGCTCCGAGAAGACATCAATTATAAAATGAGAAGTTTCTTCTGCCAAAATTTTAAAGAAAAGACGATGATGTGGATATTTCAGCAAATTTCTTTAGAAAAGTAAACAACGAAGTGTCAAGACGATGATGAGACAATGAGGATGATGATGACAAGTGGGGTGGAAATGATGATGATGTTAAAAGGTCGATGATGAGGAGGATGGCGAACATAATGATGTTGATGATGGAATTGAGGATGATGTATGTATGAATAATTGAATATATATAATTACTTATATTTATTCATACAAAATATAATACGTATTTTGCCAAGTTTTTCATCCGCCAGACCAAAAAAATTATGTCAACTGTTTTTGTCATATGAATCAGAGCTTAAAAACAGGCAGACTGTCCACTAAACTAATTACATTTTTAAGTTTCAACGTATGAATGTGTGATTTGAAACACATTAACCCTAACCCTAACCCTAACCCTACCTACCTACCTACCTACCTACCTACCTTACCTACCTACCTTACCTACCTACCTACCTACCTACCTACAAAAAATTCGTTTGTTTCTGTCTGCATCTCTTTCTTTTTCTCTCTCGACGATTTGGTGATGTATCAGCTAATCTCCCTCTCAAATCAGCAGATTGGTAGATATTGAAATTGAATGTGCCATGCCATTACTAGATATGTGCATTTTTTTTTAAATTTTTAATTAAAAGTTAAGCTTCGGTGACAACCTCTGAAGAAGTTTTCTAACAGAGAACCATACTTTCGAGATAATTTCCAAATGTCATTACCTTTTATTAGGCAACAACAAATGTTTGAAGTTTCTCCGATGCTCGTGTAGTCCGCGAAATAAAATGTTATAACTTCCCCTCAGCTCTTCAGTGCAACGCATTACATACGTTATATTAAAAACCTGAGTTGCATGATAAACTTCAACTCTATTTAACTGTAACATGCACATACACACCTCACACACTCACGCACGTACACACACGCACGCACGCATACTTATATACACTCGAACTTGATTAAAATTATTTAGATCCATGATCCATGAGAAGATAAAAATGTATTTAAAATGTTAATCATCTACGGATTTATTTTTATATATATATCATGTCGTTTTGAATGGTAGGAAAATATTGTGGTTATGTTAGAAAAATTAATGACTGCTGGTTTGAAAAATTAGCCCAGATTTGTGTTTTTATGTTTTTACTACTAAACTGTTGTTGCTTGTTATGTCATAATTTGTAATGTTGCAATTGTGTTTTAAAAGTTAAGTTAGTTCCTCAATTTTGTTTTTTATTTTAATTTTTTAAACCATCAAGGCGGTTATGCTTTCTACAGGTCCTGATATTTTGTCGTTATAAACCACCATCTCGCTCGTTGTCACCGTCCTCATAAATGACATAAATGAAATGAAATAATTTCATAGTTGCTGATTGTTTTATTGAATTGTAGTTCAATTTGTTGAAAACAAATCTGTTATTTGTCTATGACAAACTTGCTAACTCTCGAGAATTTATTATCCAAGCCTAAATATGTATGCCGGAGCTGTGCTGATTTTTTATTTATAATTTAAACGGATCAGAAATAACAAGTTCATAATTTAGCCAGATTGTTTTGCTTTATAATACAGGTGAGACAATTTGTCAAAACTTACTGTCTTGCTGGTAAATTAATCTATTTTATATTTAATTGTTTTCTTTGTTTTAATATTTTAAATTTTGCATAATCAGTTGGTTGAAAATTGAAAAAAGTTTTTTCAATCATTTGAGCCATTGTTTACACCTTGGAGTATAAATAGAATAGAATGAAGTTTATCCACATTCTTGTGAGTATTTCCATCTTCTGATTCAGGCGTAACTTTATAGGATGCATCACTCGCATCCAAGCTCACAGTGGAATTGTTTATATACAAAGAATCTGCTTAACATGGCATGACATGAGATTTCCATTGCCTCGAAACCATATTATCGCACTTCCTTATGCCATACTGACTGATGGCATTATATACTCTTTCAACATTTTCTGTTTTGTATGGTTTTGTCTTTTTTGCTTGTTTTTGCCTCTTTGTTCTGATATCCCTCTATACACTTTGAAACAAACAAAATAGAGATTTTTATGCTTAATGGTTTGAATAATTTTTAACAATTTTTTTATTTGAATATATTTCAATGTGTTTCTATAAACCTATTCATTTGTTTAGGTGTCTATTACGTTTGTGCTGTGTTGTAACTTAATAAAATAACTAAATAATACTTGTTTTACTCTTCAATGCATGACGTGCTAAAACATCAAAAAATATTCCATACGAAAATGATCCTTGATTATCAGCAATTTTTTTATGTTTTTATCGGTTTTTTTTAACTAAACCTGTCCTACAATCTTCATCTCCATCTCATTTTTACTTTATTTGTTTTTGAACATTCTTATGCTAAGTCTGCTTTTGTTTGTTTGTGTGTTTGTTGTTTTTTTTTTCTTTTTTCTGAAATTCTGTATCATTTACTACCTCTCACTCACTTGCAAAACGAAGATCGGTTCTGATAACCCATCTTTATCTGTTTGCTTAATTCATCGAGTAGTGCTGCTTAAATAAATTAAATGAATTCATTAATTGGTTGAAAATATTTTAAAATTATTGGAAACAATGTATTTACAAGCTTTGTTCAATTTCTAACAAAATTTTCAAATAAAAATATAAAAAATAATATAATATATACACACGAATTGGCGAATTCAAAAATATAAAGTAAACTAAATTAAATCACCACAAGAATATCGCCTAGCAACAAAAAATCGTAGCTGTGTTAACAACAACCACAACTACAGCGGCCACAACAGCCGACATAACAACGACCACAACGGCAACGGGCTCATCAAGTGTCATCAAATGTAGCTGGTAATTTTCGCTTGTTTGCACTTCAAGGTGAGTTTTTTAGCGAATGTCACTAAATCCTTTATGTATGCTAATTTAATGGGTTATTTATTAGGCTACCGCACCAATTGAATTGTTCATTCTGATTGATCTTGGTTCTTACTGAAGCGAGATTTTTTATATTCTATTATTATTTAAATTATGCTGGCGGTGAGATGTTTAAATTATTTAAATTATGCTGGCGGTGAGATATTTATTTGAACGTAGGAATGTACAAATATTAGCATCTAGCGCAGAAGAACATCCGTGCACATAAAATGTATGTAAATGACGACGATTTTATTTCACTGCACTTTGGCGTGCATTTAATTGAGCCTGGCACGATGATAAGCATCACCATGTAGAAAGTTGCATGCGAGCGAGTGGTGCGCTGTGTTGCCCATACCATGAATGAAGTTAAACAACGTGTTTTTGCTCGCTTCATACTCAAGATCACAAATAATGCAGTCGTGAATGACAAAATTAGTAATAAGTAAAAAGTTCAT